GTATCCCTGCCAAAGTAGGAACCCCATCTGATGCTCTACGTGAACAGTGCTGGAATTTTCAGAGGTGCTGGATGAAGGAGAGAGTGTGTGTGAAAGGGTGGGGACTTCTCTGCATGTCGTTATGTGCAATAGGTAAGAATTCAGAGCTGGGATGTTGTACCTCCAGCAGGTACTTCTCAATAGTTCTGGAATGTTTTGGTTCAGTACCTACAGCTAAGCGAGTGAGGACTCTGGTGTCATATAAGGCTTACAGGAAACACCTGTGGGAAACTGTAAGGTACTCCTGCTGCAAGGCATGAGCAGCTGCAAAACAAAGTGTACCGTAAATACCACGGGCAAACAACCGAGAGCAGACCAGAGATGCATTAGTGCAACCACCTGTTTTTTATACATCTTTAATAAATTCTGGTTCCTTTAAATTTCCACAATAAAAAGTGCATTTGCATCTGGCTCAAAAGGAATGGTTTTTAATGTGGTGCCGATTACTCACCAACATTTTTATTCCTTTTATTTTAACTACTTGCAACCAGCAGAACATTTTAATTAAAATGTGTGTGGTAAAGTTTCGCACTGAAAGGTGTGTGGAGCCCTGAGCTGCTGTCGCAGGCTACACGGTTGACAATATTTACCCACATCTACAGATGTTTTCATATTTTTTACTAAAGTAACAAAAATTAACCAGCTTTTTTTCTCAGAGTACAAAGAGAAACCTGCACCTTGAGTGGAGATTCAACTTTGAATAGACACTATCATGCTACTGTCTTAACTCTCTAAACTTCCTAAAGAAATAAATATACTACTCTAAAAGTAATACATTTCTCAGATATAGAAGTTCAAATAAATTATATAACTTAACTACAACTTAAACACTGATTTTTCCTTTTGATGAATTTAGGTAGCATGAAAGTACTTAATGATAGAGTATCTGCCTGTTAATTTGTTTTAATTATACTTGTATGTTGAGCCGTTGCTGCTCCTTTTAGTTGGCATAAACTCACCGGTGCTTTCATAACTTCACAAGCTTTGTGTTATGATGTTCTTACTTTGCTAATGATCGATGCTAATGAAAGTGACGAGCATAAACGCCAAACAGATGTCAGGAATCGGAGGTGCTCTGTGAAAAACATATTCAGCAAAGACCACATTAATAAAGAAGTTGGTTGTGATACTGGAAAAGATAAAAGACTTAGTCAAATGTGAACATCAAAGGCTAGTTAATGACAAGAGATGCCATTAGGGTTAGGGTGGCTTTTGTTTCAGCTTCCTCACACCTGCAATTTGTTGTGGGCTAAGCCTTTCTTCACATAACTGAATTGCTTTAATTTGCATTAACACAAAGTAGAAGCAAAAGAGGATAAAAGCCTGAAAACTTTAAAAGAGTACCTTTCTTGAGATGTTTTTTTTTTTAATCAGACCATCTAGATAATGAATGGAATGTTCTCTCTTGCACTGCTTGTTCCTGTATGGGGGTGCCCCTATTGTTGGGGGTCGAACCGGTGTTTGTTACAGGGTCTGGTATTATTTAGGTGAAGGATAAAGTCGATAAAGAAGGACGAGCATATGGAAGAAGTTTTTTTTTTTGCGCTTGGCAATTGAACATGCTTGACAAAAATCAGAGCGTGAAATTCCGTTTAGCCCCCTCGCAGGCTGAGGATCGAAGGGGTGTTTAAAGACTTGGCATGGCTAAAGGTGTAACCTGTTTTGTTTGGCCCCAGTGTTTTTAACACAGATGGCGAGACCAGCTGCCATTTAGTAAACGCTGGGGTAGTAACAGTGTGAAAAGTGGTGAGGTCTTGTTTTAGGTCAGGATGCAAAACGAGGAAATCTGTCTTTCTACTACTGCCAGGAGGCAATTTAAAATATCACCCATTGCTTTAAAAGTAGCAGAACGGTGAGCAGGGTGTGAGGGGGGTGGGGGATGCAAATGATAAATCGCATTTCAGACATTATATGAATTAATGATACACTGCAGGTGTAACCATAAGTATGAAAATAAGAATTAAAATGCGCACTTTTAGTCAAATATTTTTCCTTAAAGCAGCTTTCAACACATGGGGGTTGGGAGGTCCAGAAATCTTAAACACATTAGTTTAAATGATTGCTAGACAAAGCCTTATATATATAAATACTGGTATTTTTGATGATATGACTAGAATTCACCTTAATAAGCTTATGTTTAGCTGTTAAAGCCATATTCACATACCCTAGAGTGTTGCAGTCTGCAGTATTTACAGTGTTCCTCAAGTTGTAGGATTTCTGTGGCCTGAGGATGTACTGGTTTACAAATAGCTTTACTTAATGCCAATATACTAATTTACATTAAAAAACAGTGTGGTCTTTCATATGCAAGAGCAAGTAAAATTATGAAAAGGAATTCAGACAAAACATCAAACGGGGGTCTGTGGCTCATCTTGTAAATCCCCAATCAATCAATATTCAGCAAGACAATGATGCAACTGCACCCAATGACTGATTTGCTAACAGCAGACCTAAAGATGAGAAATAACTGGTTTAAAAAGTTACCACTTGGCCGTAATAAAGCAGAAACCCATCAATTGTTTAAGTCAGTATAGCCAAGAAAAAAAAAATTATCAGGTGACTGAGAATTTCATGTGCATTTATATAACAGAACATTTCTCCTGTTTCATTCTGTTTGAACATATTTCTTTACTTGCTTGTATTGAAAACCAGCCCAGGACAAAGTCAAAGTTAATAAGCAGGACCATTTTGAACAGTGCAGTGTTGAATAGACAGCAGCCCTACGAGTCAGTGCTCTCTGTCCTGTTTGGTGGTACAGAGTTGTTCCCTTTTTCTGCATCTATTTGATATCCTGCTGGGGAACAAGCCTTTGATTTGACAAGAGCTTTGTTCCACCCAAAGACCTATTATATGGCAAGAGGGATCTTTTGTCCCAGATGAGTAGCAACAGCAAACAGAAAAGATATTAAAGGCTAAAAGAAAGGAGATGTTTAGTTCCTTTTAAAATAAAGGGCATGTTTACCGTCTTTATTACTGCTGTTCTTTAAACCATTTTCAGATGAATAATGAAGAACCATAGTATTGTGACACATTTACCATCTCAGAAGCATTGCAGAGACATAAAGGTTACAGGAGGCTTGGTTGCTTCTGTGACATAAGAAGTACACAGAAATGCATAATTCCTTCCCCGGGGTCCTCTCAGTGTCAGATTCTTCAAAATAAAAGTATGTAGGAATATTTGCCGTCAACAACGGCACTGCATTCTGCTGGCATTTTTTTCCCATTAATGCTATGAAGATTTCAAAAGCTTGGGATGAAAAGCGCTATCCATTTGAAAGGAATTCTTTAAAAAAAACATTATTTAACATATGCCCCACCAAAGATGACCATGGAGTCTGGGATTCAAAATAAAAATAACACAAAATGGCAGATGATTCAGAATTGGGGATTATATCATTAAACAAAAGAAGAAAAAAAGGTTCTCGATAATATTTGCCGTATGCTGATGTTTTAAAGCTGTTAAGGCATGTTACAGATTGGGACAGAACCAGTTTATGTTGATGTATAAACACGTATGTATAAAAACTGAAGTTATTCATTTCTTTCTGATCTCACGTGAACAGGCAGGCTTTGACCCACGCAATTATTAAGGGCGAGACAGAATCCAGTCTTTAAAGGCTAAACTACCACACACATTGTGCACTGGGTTAAGGTGTAATGACCTATCCCTCCTCACTTGACCCCAGGGCATACAGCACAGTGGCTTGGTTTGGATCTTAAATATGCAGGCCTGATAGGCCTCAAAGGTAAAAACCGTGGTATCGAGTTGCACAGAAAATCTTGAAAATTAGAGAGACCAAAGTTAAAGCTCTTCCACGTTGGGGGCTGTGAACAATGGCAGCTTTCTGCTGGAGTGCAACTTCAAAGGTCTGCTGAATGACTGCTCTGAGTTATACTTTGTTGTAGATCACTGAGGAAATTCACAGATGTTGTTCTCATACTAGACACCATTATAACAGTTCAAGTACCCAGTAGCCTCAAGCGCCTTTTACTGAGCAGAAACTAGTGCAAGACAGATGTGGGACCTGCACGATGAATGAGAAGAAGAGGCTTCTCGCTTGGAAAGTCCAGGGAACAGAATTTTAAAATAAGTGAATGTTTTTAGATCACTCCACAAAGCCTTACAAACAGCACTCGTTTCACATGTTTCAGCAAGACTTAAACACAAGATCATCTCTGTTGAAAGGTGGCTTAAATTGAGTACATTGTGGGCTTGTTTTGCATATATGTCTGTATTATTTGTAATAATATAGTGATATTGTAATACACAAAACATACTATGTATAAATAAATGCCTTATGTATAAACATCGAAACAAATAAATGATTGAGCATGGCAAGCAGAAGCTTTTGCTGCATACAATTTTATAAATGTTTTTGTTAGAATTTCCAATATATATAATTAACACAATATTATTTATACTGTTATACAGATCAGTTGTTCCAGTGATTTTGATTTTTTATTCAGATATGTTTATTGTGTGAGATTAAATTACACCATTTTCAAAACTTTGGCTTTCCCCATTAAATATTTTTGTAGTATTTGTGTATTTTACAACATTTTCAGGAACTAATCAAAATGTGCAATTGACATTTGTGTATTTTGTGGCTTCACCAGGACTTCATTTGAAGGGGGGAAAAAAAGCTTAATTTTCAACATGTTTTTCTGTTTCAACACTTAATGCTTTTTTCCCTCACCTTTTAGTTTACACTGCCTTGTCAGCTTTCTGAAAACTATATGGGCAAACTACACAAAGATTTTGAAAACAATGTCACCACGCACAAACGCTAATTCAACGTTCCTCTGCTGAACTGACCAACCTGCTGTTACAGAGGAGTCTATGAGAAAAAACATATGATTCTATCCTGGGCGCACAGTGTCAGTGTGTATAGTTTTGCCATCTGTAGTTATCATATCTGTCTGAGCTGTACTTATCTGTGCTATCATCTTTATTGTTGCAGGTTGCCTGTTTTGATCCTGTGGTCTACCAGCCAAGAAAGACATAAATGGTGCCCCATTCTTGTTCAGGACCTTCGGAAGATGGACACACTGATTCTTCTTGTTCTTAATTAATTATTTCAAAGTTTCTGTCATTCAACTTATAACGTCAATATTTAAGGTTTTAAGGTAGCTTTATGATCAAATGAAGTCCAGTCTGTATTTTGATTTGTCTTTCACAAATGTCAATATGATAATGTTCTAGATTTTGCCATATTCACATCGAAAATGAAAGATTTTTAAATTGATCATAAATGATAATAAATAGGCAACAGCGATATACATAAATAAAAGGTAGATAGTTTTGACATTATTTTCTTCTGCAAATGTTTTCTACTTCCTAGTTCCTTTATGGACTACTTTCTAAACTTGTGTGAGTGAGAATGGAGAATAACAAGATCATACTTTGGTAACAAAGAAGCAGTGTCATCTTCTGTTACTGAAAAGTATTTGAATATTTTAGATAATTTAAAGCCTTTTCTTGTTAATCAGCAAAATTGTTAATCAACAAAAAAATTTTGTGTGTGTCATTGTAATTAGAATGTTTGTACTGTTTGTGTAGTACCTTTGCTCTCTCTCTTCCTCACAAAGGAGAAAAGGTTTATTCCTAAAAAAAATTAATGGAAGTAGCTCTTTAGTCATTTTTCTGTACATGATTTTCCATACATATTTTCTTACTGTATCTGTAGTGAAGCTGACTGCAAAGTAGCAGCAAACACAAACTGATTAACAGTGCTTCAAGGCATTTTTTAGTTTTTAACTGTTATTTTTCTTTTAGGTTTTTAGTATCATGTATTTGGAAGTGTTATTTTGCAGTGTCTCTTTTGACCATGACAGTTGATGGACATCGTTTATAGAATTTGTGGTACTGAAATGAGTGTTAGAAAAGCTCTACTTTTTAATTGCTGTCTTCATGACTGCTAAACATTAGGTTTTGAATACTAAAATGAAATACCTTTTCTTTTGCCTTCTGAAACAAATAGCTTGTTCAATGAAAATTATTACATGAAATAAGTGTTGGAAATGTTTGCACCTTAACTCTTACATAAACATTAAAAAACAGTATTAAAGCATTATTTCTGGTTGAAATTAGAATTGCCACTGTGGTGCTTAAGAACATCAATTTCTGTTTTGCTTCTCTTCAAACAATTGTAAAATCACATTAAGCTGACTGGAGACTTTCAACAGGTTCTTGTGTACAGACCTAAAAACAAATAGTTCCCAAGGATTTTTTAAAACATTTTGTTACCAGAAAGCTTCTATGCATTTGGACATATAAGTACTCTATTTTTGCATTTCACATACAAAGCTGTGATCATTTCAGTTTGACAGTTGATTTAATCAACTACTATACTAAAGTAAAATTGCAATACTAATTTGTGTTAGACAAAGTGTGTTCTATTGTGTGAGTCCTCCTCAACTGCGCATGCTGGATTAAAAAAAATCAGTTGTTTAAAATGCTGACTTTTGAAAACTAAAGGTAGATCAAGCTGAAAAAGACCCAGGAGTATTAAATGGAATGGTCCTCTTTAATTTTATATAAACATGTATACCATTGTGTCACTTTGTAAAGTTTTAAATACTGTACTGACTTTCTACTCTGAGGATCTATATATATAAAAAAGGTTTTTGTTCCATTAAAGCCCATTCTTGGTGTTTTACATAAATAGTTGTTAAGATTGTTTTTTTTTCGCCGACAATGAATTAGATGCATCTGTTTCAGAGATGAAAACAAAATTAATATGTGAAGTTCGGCGCATTTGTTGTTAATACTAGGAGATGGGAGTTGCCGCGTGGCGCAGCAGGAATCTCCTCTCTCACCATGTCTTCTGTGTGCAGCCGTGAGAGAGGACTTGGCACGCTAATCCCTTCAAAGGAACCGATCTAATTCAAAATCTACAACTCTCCAAAGTATTTGAGAGGACACCGATTGTTTCAACAGGAAAGCCAGAAAGGATCTCTGTAGGCATTTAAAAGACTCAACTCGTAATGTGAATACAATTGAATTTACTTAAGGGTGGTCAGACGTGGGTTACTACTCTGCAAACTTTTAATTTCAGATTTGTCTTATTTAACCAAAAAAGATCATTAACCCACAAAACCATTTCCCCTGTCTATAGATCAGCAATTTATATTTTGATGTTCTTTATTTGGCCTGGACCAATGCATTTCATTCGTGAGCTACGTCAAGGTTCCTAGTCGTAGTTTCGTGTTTTAAAATGATGTTTTTTCTGTGTTTGGAAGTGCCTCGAGGGTCGCTGGGATTCAGTTGTCCAGCTGGAGGAGGTCTAGAAGCTGCTTAAGGCGGAGCAGCAGGCGGGGAGTTGGAAATTGTTTCCACTTTCTTGAAGAGAGAAACTCCTCCTTCTACAGCCTTTTGCGTTGGCTGAACTTTTGGAAGCTTAACAGAGCCATCAAACGCTATCAGGCACTTCCACACCTTTTACAAGAGGCCTTATACGCTATCAAAGCTTCATTACCATATATCAATCATCACAATTATACAACAGCTTGAGTTTCGCTCGGATCTTATGTTTCCTGTACAGACTCGGTACCCTCATGCGAATTGAATTTTAAGGATATTACAGTTTTAGTCTTAAAAATATATCCTGGAGCTGTAAATATATCAAATGTATCTCTCTTTTCACTCTAATATTTGAATATCATTATAAATTGCATATTCTAAAAGTCGACCAAACTGTTTTGGCTCAATCCAGACAGAAATTGGTTAAAAAAAACTGGAAGAAGATAAAACAAGCTTGCTCTTAAAGCTGTATGATTTTCATTTTAAGACCTGATTTACAGTTGAATGGCTCTAATGGAGACTATAGAAGGAGGAAGTAAACAGTTTTTAGATCAAAGGCATCATTAAAGATTTAGCTCCCCATTCGAGATGTAACACTTAAGCGCTAGGAAAAATGAAATGCGAATTTGCATGTTCACCATTACATAAAAAAAACACACATTCTAAAAGCGAGTGACCCTACAAAAATGTATATATCAGTGCGGTTTTGTATTATTATTTACAAAACTTTACTGAAACTGCGGGCACTTAGACAACTCTTCAGCGCTAAAAAGACACATAGAGGAGTTCCAGGATTTAAACAAACGGGATAAACTTTGTTTCTTTTATGTCGAGTCATTTTTATCTACCCATCATCCCTCATTGCTTAAAGTTATCAAACAGCAACGCACTAAGCGATCTCTCTAGAGATAACAATGTCACATTGTCACTTAAGGCTCTGATACAAATCCTTAATTACAAAAGGGGGGATCAGATGACTTATGCATCCAATACTGGGGTCTCCAGGCGGCATGGGGGTCTTTGATCAAGAAAATCCAATTATTTGTGTATATACATTTCCCACATAGTGATTACTTCATTAATTGTCCCGCCTTTATCTCCTCCCTTCCCATCCCCCCTAATAATCAGTTCTTTTATCCAGACCAACAAACACACCATAGGAGCTTTGTGGATTCAAAGGATTTGCTTTCCCTTCTCAAAGAGCCGCTATTCTTTGATGATTGGGCAGCGGCAAACTTCAAAGTAATAAATCTTATTTCTGACTGGCTGGCGGCCCACCAAAGTCCTTATCAAATTCTAAGAAGTGATCCCTCACTCTTCAGATAGTCCAAGGATATCTCTAGGAGAAGGAGCGGAGAAAAGAGCGACTTTTCTGCATGAGGATACTTCTTTCCCTACATATTTTTCCGACATAGTTATTGTGTTTTTAAAATATAGTTAGCCATGGCTGCTGTGGCTGTCCTGCGGAACGACACTCTGCAAGCTTTTCTCCAGGTTAGTACCTTCTGTTTCTTTTCAGCCTTTTAATTCTGCATGGTCATTCATTTCTGCAAATCAAACTATATTGCATTACGAAGTTTACGCGGTCAGCTCTTTTAAGTTTTCAGTTGCCGACTCTATCGTAATGGGCTTTGAGCTACCGAACACTACTTTTATTTTTTTTATTAACATTATTTAAAAACCTTCTTGTACCGATTACTTTTGATTTTATGATGTATTGACGAATATAAGGTTACAGAACTTGGACACTCTCCTTGGCAGAGCCTATGTTTTGTTTTGGTTTTGGAAGACGTGAACTTTGCTTTCTTATAATAAAGCACTTCGGCTTCGCTTGAATGGAGTATTTGATGTTTTCCTTACGGTAGATGCATTACAGTCTGCTTCCATTTGTTTCAGATGGTTAGGTATATATCATTGTATATCTGTATAAACAACCTATTTTGAATTTTTCCGCAGGATCGTACTCCTAACTCGTCACCCGAGACAGCCAAGCATTCGCCACTGGCCCTGCTAGCAGCCACTTGTAACAGGATTGGACATCACCACGGTTCAAGTCCAGCAGATTTCCTCCAAGTCCCCTATGACCCGTCTCTTGGCTCTCCTTCACGACTTTTTCATCCATGGACTAACGAAGGACCAGGGAACCCACCGGGCGCTCTCCCCACCAATTCTGCTTTGGGACTGTCCCCCAAATCCCAGCTCACCGCTCACCTTCAGTCCTCCTTCAGCTCTCACCACGAGCTGCCTCTTACCCCGCCAGCGGACCCGTCCTACCCCTATGATTTTTCACCGGTGAAGATGCTGCCTTCGTCCATGCAGTCCCTGCAATCAAGTTGCCCACCCACCTACGTCCCCGCTGTGACCTACGCAGCCACAGCGCCCATTGCACCTGCGATGCCAGGCTTTGTTCCGGGACACTCCGGCCTTATTCATCAGCAACCGAAACAATTATCCCCAAATCCCGGGGAAGACATCCCTTGGTGGAGCCTTCAGCAGGGAAACCCCGTGAGTCACCCTTCGCCCCTGGCATCCCACCGTTTCCCTCTGCAGCGAAGCCTGGTGCTGGGACATTCGGACTTCGCGCAATACCAGACTCAAATCGCTGCCCTCCTTCACACAAAGTCCCCTCTAGCCACTGCCCGCAGGTGCCGGCGATGCAGGTGCCCAAACTGCCAATCTTCGAATTCCGGTGACGAGCCTGGGAAGAAAAAACAGCACATTTGTCACATTCCGGGGTGTGGGAAAGTTTATGGCAAAACCTCGCATCTCAAGGCTCACCTCCGGTGGCATTCTGGGGAAAGGCCGTTTGTGTGTAACTGGCTGTTTTGCGGCAAGAGCTTCACCAGGTCGGACGAACTCCAGAGGCACCTGAGGACGCACACTGGAGAGAAACGCTTTGTGTGTCCCGAGTGTGGGAAGCGGTTCATGAGGAGCGACCATCTGGCCAAACACGTCAAAACACACCAGAACAAGAAGAACAAAATGGGCGAAAAGAGTATGGAACACGTTAAGAAAGAAGACATAAGAAATATCTAAGAACACAATCAGGCAAACCCTGTCCTCTTATCAATCACGCCCATTTCTACAAGACAAAATGGACCAACAGTGCAATATAATTTCCAAATAAAACCTTTATAGTACAAAGGCGTACGGTATCGGATACGTACTTTTTTTTTCTTTCGGTAAAGCTTTCCAGTCGATTCCTGATAAGTGAACATATTTTTTTATCTCATCGAGGTAGTATTTTTATGTAAATATTGCTTTTAAAGTTTTGCATTCACTTTTCAAACAACCACTTATTGGGGTTTGCCCCCCCCCCAAAAAAAACAAGTTTTACCGCTTATTTTCGTGTTCCCTGTATATATTACGTTAAGTAAAACAAGTTTTTGAACTTGTGTTTATGACCATTGTCTTCGGTGGAAGATTGAAACTTTTCTGTAAATATTATTTAATAGCTTTTGTTGAATGAAAGTGTTCTAATTGTTTTTCGCTCCGTCCGGGGTGCGCTAGCATGCTCTTGAAAAGAAATGCTTATGTTACAATGACCCAAAAACTGTGTGAAAATAAAGAATTTATCTATTCCCCTACTGGAAACCACCCCGCTGAGTGTAATGATTTCCAAGTGGAGTTACAGATGCACTAGTACTAACGACAACAGGTTTTTAGTTTGTTGGAAGAGATGGAAATGAGGGACCGGTTGTTTACTTTTACTATACTGAATTGCATTTTACCGAATATCAGTTTGAATTACTGTAAAAACCTGAAATACTGTAACTATGAAGGACATGCCCGCACTGATTCTCCAAACGCCCTGGGTCTCTGAATTTGAATGCTTATAGCCTGTTTTTTTTTACGTTTAAAGGAGGCAAAAACTGTCGTGGGGAAATACGACTAAGAGTCACCTGTTCTTTTTGACTTCATGGTCATTGTTAAATTTGCCGAGTGGGCGTGAACACAAGATTCTGTCATTTTAAGTCACCAACTACACACTGGCCATCATGTGAAGTGCGGTAGGGTAGTTTCTGTGTTTGATTTTTCTTTGTAGTTCCAATATCAGTAATCCCGGGCACCTGTGTCTGCAGCACGAGTTCAGAAGTGCAGTATAAGTTCGGGTCTTAAACCAAATTTCTCTTGCCAAGAACCCAAGAATCCCACTTAATGAACAGAAACCGATGTTTATTTCTAACTTTTTATTCAATGACTAATTGGAAAATAAGCACTGTGATTATAGAAATTAACCTAACAAATATAGTGTCAACATGCATATCTATTGTATTAATATTTTGAGATTGTATTTCTTTTTGCACTAAAACCTCTCATCCAAACCGCCACCATAGTTTGTAAAGTTCGCAAATTCTTCTGAACGTAGTTTCCATCCCTATTGTTGTGATAGAACTGAGAGAGTGCATTAACCTCACGTAGACTAGTTATTGTTTGTATTCGTGTATTTGAAACTTTTGAAGTTTTGAAATGGGCCTTTTCTACAAAGGTTTAAAATGAATTATATTGAATAAACTTAAATAATTCAATTTTGATATGGTCATTTTTTTCAATAGTAGTAGTGCTATTACTAGTGTATTTACTAGTGTATTAGAACAGTATTCCCTTTTCGAATACTTTTGTTGTAACCGTCAACTGCATTTCACCTGCAGTATGCAATAGAAAATGCGACATAATACCTAATTACAAATACATCCAAATACGCAACAGTATATGTGTTGTATATGTATACAATATGTATACGCACATTTCACGATTCTAGTTTCGCAATCAGTGTTCACTCCATTTGGTTGTAAAAGTAGAGTAAATGTTTGGGTGAGACAGATATAAGCATGTTTGAGTAACCGCCACCACAGGACCAGTGGGTTTTTGAGCATTATAAGAATAAAAGTTTTTGTTCCCGTCTCTTCCTTCTCCTGTGACTCTCCTCCTCCTTCAACACCTATATATGCAAATTCTTCTAAATATTTGGTTAAGCTGGTGAAGTGGCTTGCGCTTCTTTTATTTTTCATTTAACCGGTCAATCTTCACCTGTCCGTACTATTCCCGCCTGCTAAACACTTTCTACTTCGAGGAAAGAAAAAAAAACGCGTTATCTCCTTAAATATGTGGTGGCATTCCATTAAAGTAGCATACAGGTCTTTTCAACTTATTTTTGAAATATTACAACTATAAAACTGACCACACGCCTGTAGTCCAGTTGGATGATCATTAAAGGAAGCGGTTTGCAAACTTTTCTGCGATAAATAGAAATGTATTTTTTTAATGTCAACAAGTACATAAAAAGTACATGAAAAAAAACAGGGTATTGCCTCGGTGCAGATAATCGATGCAGGCATTTCTCCCTGCTGTAATACACATAGTACCGGTGAATGGTAATTGTGTGTGGAAGGTGTTTTCATTCAGCGTGTTATTTTTATGCATTAAAACTAGTGACATAAAACGCATACCAAGCGCCTGCTATCTCTTTCAATAGCGCCCCCTATTGAAAAACCAATAGCTTTCCAAAACTGAAGAGTAGCATGCTCTTCAGATTTGAATCCTAATTCTTCGGATGTAGTTTTCCGACCATTCATTCGTTCTCAGAAAGCCGCTTGTGCTTGGTTATGGTCGCGGACACTTGGGGGTACTTCACACCGGACTTGACGCCGGTTGTTGGTAGTACTATCACGTTGCCTTGGAATTAGAGACTGGGGATTTTCTGTTTACATGCTACCAAAAGCATAATCAGGAATCGAGAACTACACGCTATTCTTGTGAGAAAAGTCTTAAAATGGTCAGTTTTAGTCTAAATGGATGCGTTCTTTTTTTATAACTCAGTGTGTACGTGTAAGTACTAAAACGTACATTCAGAGACCTTGGGGCACAGGATGAAACCTCGCGTTTACCCAATACTGTAGCCAGATTCAGAGCTGAATTCATTTGCCAGTCATCAGAGGCCCGGAAAGGTAGCTTTCCAAACAGTTGCCTATGGTTTCTTAAAAACAAAAAAAATATACCATTGCACTATTCAACATATATTATAGTACATTGTTTATTTAAAAACATGTAAGAAAGCTAATAGTGACACAAGTTAAAATAGAGGGTATGTATTAATAATCCATTTGGTATGCTCAGGTTTACCATTTACCAGTTAGTAAAACCAGGGGACTCCTTAATAAACAGTGGTATCTTATATAAATCATCATCGGACTATACCACAATCTTGAATACTAAATCGGTTTGCTTTTTTTTGTTAATGCAAAATTAGATAAGTTGATGTTTATTTCATTACAGGGAATTCTTCCACTACACCTTGTTACAAACGGGAGAAAGAAATCCTAACAACCGCCAATAGTTCGCTTTTACCAATATACGTCCTCCTTTCTCTTTTAAGTGTGAAGTTTTAATAAAAGAATGGAGTGAAAGGCGGGCGATTTAATGCGGATTTTTGTTCTCCCCGGTTTCTTTTTACAAGCGCGCTGAGTGAGGCAGCGCTGTTACCATGGAGACGGAAGTTTGGCCGTTTCAGGTTTCACTTGTTTCGCAAAGGATCAAATCCGCAGCAAAGATTCAGGATTTGGGTTTCAGCTGTTTGATTTCCTTCTGTCCATCGATGATATTACGCGTTACTTTACAAACCTCTAAATCCCATTAATTTTTCAGTTGTGGTTTGCGCAGGCGTGCTTTCGTCAACAGTTGATCATGCATCACAGGGAAATTAACAGGTGTATTCAATGTCCCTACATAGTGCTTTCTCAGCCTAGTTGAAACATTTCAGAACTGTATCAATGTATAGCTTTAAAATGTGTTTCTTGTTGTGTTTAGGTTACAATGCATTGGGAAGTCGCCAAGAAATCCCCTCAAGGTAAGTTCCTTCTCTATGGCACCGAAACGGTTTTCTAATCGTTTTGGGGGGAGTTGAAAGTCGCTAATTTTATGTGATTTTTAAAAACAATATTTCTTTAACCCTTTTAATTATAACGCATGCCCTTAAAACGGTGAGACAGAAAGTCAGATTTCTTCTAGTTATTAGGTTATTTTTTCTTATCCGAACGTTAAAATGTAGTAAGAAATACAGTACGCTACCCACTGCCCAAGAAGATTGGCCCAGGTCCTCTACACTGTTTAATTTGTATATGAATATCGGCTTTTGATGAAGTTGCTGTAAGACTTTTTACTGCATATAATTTATACTAACGTAAGCACAGGCATGTAATAAGACTAACTGCATTTTATTTGATTATATTCTGTGAAAACCCGATAACGTTTCAGTTGAACAGTTCTTATTAAGTCGATGGAATAGTACATTATGATGGTGCTTTAAAAATAGAAGAATAACTTGTAATCACAAGTAACTTGTAATTACAGTGTAATCAGCAGGATGGTCATTTCAGTCATTGTAGCTAAATACTGCGTTAAAATACAATGAATGTATGCACTAAGAATGTATTTTTTGAAAGTCTGTTACAAGTGCATTAAACTTATTTTAAATACAATTTTAAATTGCACATCTACTCTTAAATATTCTGTTTCTAGAAAGTTCCTATGCGCATAAATAGTTCCAAATAATCAACATGTTATATTCATCGATTTTCCAGAGCATGACATCCTTAAATATCTGATAAGTATTTTTCTTTAAATTCATTGTTTTAAACAGTGGCATACATCACTAAACAAATATTGATAAATATGAAGGTATCAAATGACAGGTGACCATTTTGCCCATTATGCCTATTAGCTGCTAGTGGTTAATTGATCTTCTGTTGATTCTAAAGAAGTCTATTGAGATTTGACTTTGAATACTTGAATCTTGTACATCCTCAGTCTTCTTTGTAGAAGACCACAAAAACCCAATTCTTTTAGCCTGTCAGTGGGTAACATTCCTGTGTAATTCCAGGAATGTGTCTGGTCACTCTTTTCTCTGTTTGACAAATTCCAGAGAACTGTATCTTATTTTTAAATTTTCAAAATTGAATGCAGTTGTAAAAGTCTTCCCAGTGCACTGTCCAATTTTAATCCATTAATTAAAATTCTGAGCTTTTAACTATATATTCAGACTGTTTTTTTATTGCATTCCCACATTGTCCAGAACAGCAATACTTAACCCATGTCTCTTTTAGTTTTTGTTCCAGCTCGTAACCTGAGGCTAACTCACCCCATTAATTGAATGTCTTGCTTAATGAATCTACTCCTTTTCTGCGCTCAGTATTTAGTTTAAACAATAATCAGCTACTGTTGTGTTATTTAGCATTGCATCAAACACATCTATTATTTTACTCAGTTTGCTTAATATGTAATTTCTGCATGTTTCTGCCTAACAGCCCTCAGTAAGATGTCATTTTTAATACAAGGCTGGAATGACTGTGTGTCAAACCCTCCCGCCAAACAAAGCCAGGCCGCGTTCTGTAGAAGTTCAGTTACTTACATTCTACAGAAATCAATGAGGGCAGCTGTGAACACCAGAAATTACATCATAACCTCATACAAGATCTTACAAAATAAAAAATTTAGAATATTATTAAATTATAGGTACAATTATACAAAATTATCAGTCAATTAGATTAAGAGCTCATTTGGACTAAAAAACAGAAAGTACAGGAGTCTTTCAGGGCAAGGTGAGAGTCACTGATTTAAAATATGTAAATGGCATGTCAACATAAACAGCAATATTTTTCAAGTTCAGTGTTTCCCACCACTAACTATATTGTACCTAAGAGTTTTTACTTGCTTGTTCAATCCTGATTTAGATTGCAATAATTGGACTTTTAATGTAGTCGTCATATCATTTGGAAGGTGTTTGCACAGATTTGATTTGGTTTTTGTTAAACAATCTTGAGTAGGTTATTAGCTATACCAGAATCTAAATCATAAATATAAATTAGGAAGTGCTAATTTCTCCATGTGAGTCTAATGGAGATCCCTGTGGTACTCCGCTGATTAAATTGCCCTTATTTGAGCATGTACTTCTTATCCACTAACCAATTCTCAGTCCAAATGATGCCTTATCTGCCTCATTGTACGACAAACCTTTTACAGAAGCCTTCTACAATTGGAAATACACTTTTATCATGTGCTCTGTTTGTGAGGTCAGCGTGGCACAGTGGACAAGCATAGTGCATAGTGGATAACCCACCATAACTGGTGGGTGGTGTGTGATTGAGGTATAGAGTTACCCATATTCTTTGTATCCAATACTGCTGTTGCTTGTTCAAATAAGATTTATTAATTTATAAGACCTACATTTTCTAAGTACATGTTGACTACCCCTGGAATTTTACCATCTTAGACTGACTGCTGAAAATAGTTTGGTAAACAGCCTATGAATAACCTCTCTCATTTCCCTAAGTTCTGTGGTTAGTATACCATCAGACCCAGGAGATTTATTTATCTTAAGCTCTTTTAATACCTTTAATACTTCTGCCTCTAGAAGGCTAATATTTAATACAGAACCTCCTTTCCTTCGTATGTCGTGTGCTGACAGTTTCTTCTAGGTAAACACCTAAGTGTAAATATGTATGAATTCCAACCATATTGGATGTGTTGACAAACATAAGACAGTGGCATCCCATATTTTGAAAATAATTGCTGTAATTATATTGCATGTACACCTTAAAAGACAGTGACACATTTCAGTTGCTTTTCACTCTGATACTTGTGAAGTTTTATAAGATATGTAATCCTGTATGGTGCTTTCCATTGAAGCTGATTCAAGTTGTGCAGTTTGGTTTTATTCAATGTTTTCTTAGGCTGTGATTTATAGTTCTCCTTGCATGACAGAAAAACAGTGTTTATGTAATGTTGGTCATGTAAGATGCAGTAGTCAGAATCTGTTGTACTTCCGTTAATGTACCAATACTGTTGTCTCTTTTGTTAAATCAAGTAGATCTAAAATTGCATTATAGTGAAGTTTTTCTTATAATTACCAGGGATTAATTTCACATTAAGATTTTCTTTTTGAATCATGAAAATAACCTTTGTCTAAATGTATTTTTATTTATATATTTACATTTTGTAGGTTTCAGGTCAGCTTGAGATTCTTGGTCCAGAAGGTTTGTTGGCCTTTTTCCCTATGTATTCTTGAATTTCTTAATATACTCTATTTATGCAATGAAATAGTACTGATGGCACTCTAATATGGTAATTCCTCCTACAGGACAGCTTACCACTTGAGTATAGAAATCTGCTATGGAGTCCTCTCTCATTTGAAATCTCTTCTGAGACTTAATAATTTTACTATTGGAACCTGAATCTGACCTCAGAGAACTGAGTGCCTTAAGTCCCTTAAGACTGTACTGCCCCCGGTTATCTGTTTATTCCTGCAGGTGGGTTGAAGTGAGTTTCTGTATAGTAGACAGTGAAATATATTGCAGGTAATGACAACCAAGACTGATGGTGCAGTGAGGTGAAACCTTTACTCCTCCTTTCTTTTCCTTTGAGAACAACGGACTAATATTTCCTTTTTTTCACCCTGGCATGATGACAATTAGGCAGATGTGTATGTGATAATACAATACTGTAATCCCAAGCAGCAAATGGAAATCCCACTTTCAGTGAGAGTGTGTTCAGTTGTCTCTTGTTTCAGAATTGCTGTACTATTTGTAATATTTTATCTTTCTGAACAATAGTAAATGTACACCACTTGTGCTTTTTTCGGTTTCAAGGTTTAAATTTTCGACTCTACAACAGAATAACAGGGCAAAAATGTATAGTATTCTAAAACGTGTCTCTATGCATGTTTATATCTCCATGTGTTTAATGAAGTTTTTGCTGTGGGCATTGGTCCTTGTGAAAAGGTATCAAAACCTCTGTTGCAACTCTAACATAAAGTAATGATCATTTCTGGTTTCTGTCGAGCACTTTCCTGTTCATTGTAATGTTGTGCTGACCAAGCTGAGCAATATAATCTCTTTCAAATCTTTATTTTTAAGCTTCTCTCAACTCGCTTCTTTAAAAAGATTCTGCAGTTGCTTAAAAAAAACCTCTGTGTATTGGAATTTAGTCCTCTCTAAATGTATGGAAGATAATTTGTTTTTCAGGTGATTTAGTTCATGGGGATTTGTGATCAGAGTGTCCCTAAGACTTTGTAAGGAGCATTTTAAACCTCTAACATTTACTGTTTCTGAAATTGAAAAAGAGCAGGAGCTCCACTTTTCAGTGGGTGAATGCAAGGAGAGTGAGAATGGTTGGAATTTTCCAGGCTGGAGTTTTTAGGCTGAGAAGCCTTGAGTTTAAGACTAGAGAACTGTTGAAAAGGTCAAGTAATAATTTAACCCTTGCTTTAGTATGAGAGGTTAAGAGGATGTCTGCCTGCCCAGTTTGTATTTCTAAAAATAATACAAATCACTTAACACCCTATTTGTCATGGCAAAATTCAATCTCATGTTTAATTTTAGTTTATTAGATTACATTTGTACAACACCTTACAGTTTGTCCTGGTTTAATCTTAGGTGGAATCATTGTGGAACAGTTTGGAAACAAGTCACGGTGAGAAAGTGTTTTTAAAGTATAGAATTTACAGTTGTGTAATGTGTAGAAAAATATCTTTAACTGTAAATAAAAATTTTGATTAAATTGTGTTTTACATGCAGTTTCTATATTATGCTTGTACTCTTATCAGAAGTTACCATTATTCACAGATCTTTTATTCCTAAATAAAGACATTGTCCTGATGGTGTTAATTAAACAACTAAGCCCCTTACAGTCAGTAAGGATAGAAACCTGATTATGTGAAGACACTGTTAGAATTAGTCTTTTCTGTCAAGCCTTTTGACATTGAAAAATGTTTTGGAAATTTCATCTGCTTCCTTTTATTCCAATTAGAATGAACCTCACTGACCAAGTCACATGTCTGGCTAAGGTAAGAATACTCTGAATGTGGACGGAGAATACTATATTCTCAGTCTTTTTCTGTCATTGCTCCTGAGAAATGTCTTTGAATAGTTTTTTTTTAATTAAGATATGCTTTATGATTAAGTTGAAGTTGCAGTTGAAGAAAATGTATGTCCATGATTCCTCTGTAGGAGCAAGCAAATGGAAAGCTACAAGTGCTTAAAGATGGAGGTAAATATCTTTAAATCTGTACTTTTCAATACTGTTAAGGCTGTCGCCAATTAAAAAAAAACAATTAAAAATCCTTCACATAATTCTCAAGGTCTTTGTGTGAATCAAACTATGAAATAAATGTTCTCTTTGGGATGCATCCTGCAGTGAAGAAAATGAGCTGAACCTTACTTGTGGTACCTATATATTCCTTAACTAACATTTAAATTACAAACTCCAAAGAAAGAGTAGTATGTAGGCTACCCACATAAGCTGTTCTTTTCTCATTTACAGAAGTGGTTCCAGTTGTGCCTATTGAAACGATATCACGGTATGAGAACTTTTTACTACATTTTTTTTTACTAAGACTAAAAATATAAGAGTAATAAGCTAACCTTTCACTTGCTTATAATGTCATTCAGAAGGAGTAAGTTCTCTGTTTCAATTTATGGGACCATAGGAGTCTTAAGAATGAAATGTACATGAATATAGATGAACAATAATGCATGTCATTCTCGACAAACTGAAGTATTCGAGAGGTACACTTATTTTATAAGATAGCTTCATTGACTTCTTTTTTGGAGTCTTTAAGTTAGTCACCAACACCAACGTTTTTCTTGTCTTTGTTTCAGCTTTTTGCAGTTTTCCCATATTTATATTAATCAATTATTAAAAACTCCTTTTTAAAAAAAAACAGTTTTAAAATAGTTTAGTTGTAATTTACACAGATATCAGATCAAATATTTCAAAGTGGGTGAAAAACAGTTTAATGGTTTTGTAGACAGCTATTCATTTTTACGTGTAAAATAAAAAATGGTTTCTTTTAGGTGAGGTTCCAAGGCAGAAGAGAGGTTAGGATTCCTATAGCAAGCCATTCTAAAATATTATAATCTGTTACAATTCAATAGTAAAAGACCTAGAAATGTCTTTTGTAATTATGTAAATGCTGCAGGGATGATTTTTGAAAAGAGGTAGTTGTTTAGTGCGTCAGTTTCAAATGGCCTGTTATTTCCTCAAAAGCAGATGACAGCTGTGTGTGCTCCCAATATTCAAAATGGTAATTCCATTATCTTTCTTGCCCAAACCAACAGTATAAAAAACTGGTATGATGATTCTACATAATCTTCTCCATTACCTATGGGATCACTAGCCCAGAAAAGTCCAGAAGACAAAATGAGGAAATCTATGTAGGAAAATCATTGTACAGTACCAACTGAGATAAATTCTGTTAAGTTAATTTAACAATATTCCTATCCATCATGAGACCATGAGCAGTGTGGATATTCTTTAGAGAAGAACTTTATTGGGAATTCAGTGGTGTTTGTCACTAGATTTGCTGTCTAAGCAAAGAGGTTAATTGTGAAATTCTTTAATGGAGAATCCAAGCCTTTTTTTTTATTAAGAGATAAAAGGAACGTTACTCCTAGGAATGCCTGTGTTTGAACATTTGTCCCGTATATGGAGTAAAAAGTAATGAAAGAAAAAGAGTAAGAAATGCCAATGAAAATTGAGCTATTTTTTAAGAAAGCATTCAGTATTTGAACTTTTAAATTCAGGCCACAGTTTTATTATCCTATTGTGATGAAAGATTATCTTTTTCAAAAACTGAAACTTTCAGTGATATGTGGAAAGCAACCATGGAAACTACTAAATACTAGACATAGGCTTTGTCAGCGACTGATTGGCTTTAAACCTTTCCAGAAACCCTTGGTTATTAAATACTTTACATCTCTGGAATTATGGAAGCTGTTGAAAGTTTAAGCATGGCTATAAATAACAAGTACGTTACGAATACGGAAATGTTTTACAGAGCAGTATTTCAGTTCTTTTTTAAAACATTATGAGCTTCAAGGACAGGGATATGGATCAGCACTATACAAATACCTGATTGCAAATGAACGTTTTTTACATTGATTTTACTTAGTCGCTTTTTAAAAAAATTAGCCAAGAAAACCTTTTAAACATATCTCATGTCTAGAAAGAGAAACAAAAAAGGAGAATGTTAAACACATACATAGAGGTTTGCTTTAGGCTCTTTTAAATACAAACCACTGTGCATTTTATTTTGTATAAAACCAAGTCCCTGTCTTAAAACTCACAGTTCAGATGAAGGTTTTTAGAATATTAAGATGATCATTAAAAACATTACAAAAAATAAATATTTGTAAAGTTCAGGTTTAGTTAATGTAATGTAAGGAACAGAAGAAAATGTATTGGAGAGAATCCCTTACAGTTCTATTTTGTTGATTCCGCAAACTTTCTTTTAGGCCTGGTAGTTTTGGAATTAGACAAAGTTCAGCCGGAAGGAGAAGTACCACTCCAACCAAACAAATCATTCTGAGCGCACCAAAAATCTGTCCAAAGAGGTAAGGACAATTCTGCACCAAACATATGAAAGAGAACTGTGTTTGATTCCCATATCACAGCAAGATGAAAAGTTCCAATATGTTTCTTAATGGTTTCTTAATGTTTCTTAATGGTGACATTATGTATTATCATTTTAGTTAATACTAAATTGTATTTAGCTTTACTAATATTCTGTATATACTGATCAATGACTGAAACAAAAGTAATGCATTTGATTTATATTTCCAAAACTTTTTGAATTTTAAGTTGGGAAACTAAAGTCATTTAAATTGGTCTGTGTATTAACTGGTCACAAATGAGCATTAAACAAATTAACTTTATATTTTTATTATTTTACCGTATACTTTTTAAAAAGTTAGATTTATACTACAGTGAAAGTTAAACATGCTCCTTTGACAGAGGTATTCTGTTTTGAAGTAGACCTTTTATGTAATCATACTGGCTCTTGGAAGAGTATTTTGATGTATGCATGGAGAATCTGATCATTATTAAGTGATTCGCAAAACTGATGATGTGGAGTGGCAGTGTATTGAGAGTGAGGTACAGTGGACACTCTGGATTTGGTGTGTAATGGCCATTATATGATATGTAATTGCATAAAGCATGTACCAGCATTAGGCTTAAAATTCATCAGTAGCCTACTATAAATGATCTCTTATTGAATATCATTCCAGGAATGGGGAATACACAGGTCTTTCAGCTGCTGACAGTCAGCCTTTAATGGTGGATGTTAATATTAAACCAAAACACTGCCCTCCTGATATTACAGGTGCTAAAGTTTTTTACATTTTCATCAAGATACATGAGGGTATTGTGAGTGTGACCTTTCTTTTGTCTTTTCGTTATTTAACTCTTTTCAGCCATTTGCAGTGCTACCACAAATTTCATCTGATGTGTTAAAGTACAAATGGTACCATTTTGTTTCCATGTTTAAGGCAGACAATAGAAACAAAAAGCTTAATCAGTTTTCTTAGTATTTTGTCTGTAATATAGGACAGAAATGTACACATGAAGTGACCAACTCTGCTATTTAATGAGCTTTGTATCTTTTTTGTAATTTCTTCTAACTTCTTCTTAAGTAGTTCTTGATTCTGAAAAACAAAGAACAGCCAGTGAGAAAATATCATTTCATCCTCTGGAGATGTGTTTAGGAACCAAAAACCAGCACTTTGAACTGGAGGCTCACGGTAGTTTTTTTCTGTTCTATTGTTTGTTATTTTACAGTCTGAATAATATTGATAAAATTTACTGTTCCATTTTTGTTTTATTAAATAGAGTACTGAAGTAAAAATCTACACATGAAGTGACTAACTTTGCTATTTTATGAGCTTTGTTTCTTCACTATAATTTCTTCTAACTTCTTCTTAAGTAGTTTTTGATTCTGAAAAACAAAGAACAGCCAATGAGAAAATATCATTTCATCCTCTGGAGATGTGTTCAGGAACCAAAAACCAGCACTTTGAACTGGATGCTCACGGTAGTTTGTTCTGACCTATTGTTTGTTATTTTACAGTCTGAATAATATTGATATAATTTACTGTTCCATTTTTGTTTTATTTAATAGAGTAAAAATGTAATGCAATAATGAGAAAAAACTTTGGAAATATTAAAAAATGCCTACTTACTGCCACATTCCTACCATTCCTTTTGATTGAACAAACATGTAAGGGTATTTTACTTAACAGTTCAATGCTGAGCATTTCACATATGGAAAATTGTAGTATAGTATTAGTATATCATTCTTATACTGTACCACCAAGAGAATCTTATTTTTTCTGATATCTTTAATTATCCCAGTTGACCCAGCAGTTTTTAATCTGATGAATTTGGAAGAGAACACAAGGCAGAGACTCAATGATGTTATTTTAACTTAGAATGCCACAACGTTCAGTCACAGATAATATATTATGCACATCTTTGTAAGCTCCATTGGTTTCGTAGCAAAACAATCTCTCAAGGATTCAAATCATACAGTGCTTTGAAAAAAGCATTCCAGTGATATCCCATATTGTTGAATTACAAATGACGTACATCAAAACATTTCTGAACTCGTACATGTGTCTGTGCAGGTTGTGTATGAATAAAAAAGTAAGATAACTTAGTAATTTTCTAAAACTCTTATTGACATGATTAGTTGGGTATACATACAGTAAAAGGCCTGAACATTAAACAGACATCATATTACAGTTTATTTGTAAATGTGATTGTTTTTGAACCCTGGGATTTTTTATTTTAAGGCATGTCATGTAAAGTTTATTTTGTAACTTTTTTCTTGATCAAATTCTTGTAAGCTTTGGCTGTCTATTTTTTTTTTAAAAAGTCATGATTTCCTGATCATCTTTCTCTTAGTGGGAAGAGCCTTAGCTGTTGTCTTAACATTGTTGAGCTACTCATATATATCCCATCATATAACGTGTAATAAATACTTTAGATGAGCCTTACTGACCTCATTAGTTTTAAACAATTATAAGGTATTTGAATGAGGAACTCTAAACTAAACACACTTCACACTATAAATATTTAATGCATTTTTACATTTTGTTTGTGTTGATGAACGCAATTATTTAAAAGAAAAAGTGAAACTTAGAAGTCCTTTGTTTTCTTTTCTTTTTTAAAAATAAGCAGAGAAGAATGATACAGGTTCTGTGAAGGCCTCTGTTTATGGGTGTGGTGTTCTCCAGAATTCCCACGAATGTCTGGATTCTAAGGCTGAAGAGGGTGGGGAACACAGTGATTATGATGAAGACAGTGAAGATGAAGGAAATAAGGCACCAATTGAACTGCTTGGGGAGGTAAGAATGTTCTTGGAAACATTAAGTTATTTTCTGTATAGTTTGTACAGTAACACTTGGAAGTTTGTCAGTAACAATGGGTTTTATAAAGTGATGTTGAAAGCTTTATTACTGTTATTTAAGATGGAATTAATTTAAAATTGATTTATTATGCTTTTGCATTTTGCCAAGCGTGACCAGAAATTCCAGATATTGCTCAGCATCCTAAAGATTTCAAAGATTTCTCCATTTATGTCTTTTAGTTTTTAAGAACAGAAATCTGTATGCTGTTACTAAAATTCACATAAAAGTGTTTACACTTTGAAATTGAGTGTGCTCAGTGGTAGTTTTTAGTGTTGTAGAAAATTCATGTAATTTACTTCTCACCTCTGGAAAAAAGTATTATTTTTCGTACTTCTGTTTTTTTAATTCTATATGGAGAAAATTTGCATTTGTGTTCTCTGTTAAATGTTGGTATGTCTTTTTTTATTTTGTTGCGACTATTGCTGTCTGTCAATACATATTATATGAACTCTGTTAACAGAAATGTGTTTGAAATCTTATAACATATACCCATGAAAGACTTCATAAAAATACTTTTCTAATACTAGACTTGTCACTGATCTTTTGACATCATTGTGGTTTATTATGTATAATATAGATGTATAGATGTTGTTTCATTATAGATTCACATAACATGTAATAATTATCCTGAATAACATTTTCTCAGGGGTGCAATATGACATTGGAAAAACTGAGATGGAAGTCAGCATTAAAGAATTTACAGAATAGATTTTAATTTGAGAGGACAAAGGTCTGTGTACCCTATATTTGAAAAGGGTGTGAAAATGTTGTTCTGCCTGTATGACACAACTAAGATGGGCTAAGAACAAAATGTGGATAATCTCATCAAGACTCGGTTTTGAAGATGATTATATATAATTTAAATCCTTTGTTCTTTTCTTTCCATTTCAGTTCCTACAGTCAGTGATGGATAAAAATTACACCCTGGCAAGCAAGCTCTGTCAGATGAGTAAGATTCTATACATTTTATTAGATGCCTAATTGCTTGTGCATTTTGCAGATGTATTTTAGCTTGCCCTGTTGCACCACAGCTCCCATACACTACCACATAAACCATGTTTATCAGAATTAAAATCGCACCTTTGACGTATTCATTAATGTATTGCATGGACATTGGTGAAGCATGTTCAGGACTGAATGAAGAGACTTTTTCAAAGCATTTATCTATTTTTGACAGAGCAGTGATCATCTGAAAAACGCACCAATAAAAAAAAGCTTTCCTGCTATTTCAGATCTTCATAGATACTATTCATCAATCACTTTCTAACAACAGTATTTGCATTCCTAGGTAAATAAATTAATCTGGGTAATAATAATAGACAACCTATGTAACTACAGAAAATCAGTCAGTCTAATGTATTGTACTGTCATCTTACACAAAATATATTTTTCACTTATAAGGAGTATAGTAACTACTTTCTGATCTATAGGTTGGGTTTATAGATTTATGAGTTTAAGTAAGTTTTTCCCAAGAAACATTTTTATTGGATTGTTCACTCCTAATATGCTTTGTACATTTTCTAATGCTCTTTTAAAATGCCCTTTTCACCGCTATAGGGTTTATAGAAAGATGAATTTCACATTTCTCTTATTATACTTTCAGTTCTTATTTATGAGCCTGACAACCCAGAGGCCAGACAATTCATTCCCCTTATTGAAGAGAAGTTACTGATAGGTAAGCCTGAATAACTGTTTATCTTTTCCCTCTCAGATCAAATAATCTTTAGTTTTAAAGATGTTCTCTATTGTATGAATGCTTTTAACTTAATGCAGAAAGTGTTTTTAATTTTTTATTGTTTAATTTTTATAATTCCTCTATCATGAAAAGGGTATGTTATCCACTGTCTTTTGCTGCATTTTACACCCTGAAATGGAGTCATTTACATTTTTATGAGAAAATTAAAAGATTATGTTTTTGCATATTTTAATTGGCTTTTCAGGAAAAAAATGTTCATGGTACTTAACCATGCAAAATTTTTAATTGGTTTCTAAATTTGACTAGTTGTAAGAAGATAAAAAAGTAATGTTTGTGGTCAAGTAAGTACTTTATCCTATTCTTATGTGTAAAAAAAGGTGACTCCAAATTGAAAAGTTATGAACAGAATGCTTTAATAATCATAATCCAGTACGAAATTCTTAAAGAATACAATAAAAAATATAAAACAAAATGGATGTTCTTTAAATTACATAATGTCTTCACTCAGGTTTATATTGAATATTATATTATTTTGAAATTCTCTCTCAAGTAATACAAATCACAAATTTCTTTTCATCAGGCAAAAGCATTTATATAAGATTATTTCAGATTTCAGTTTACAATGAAAGGACTGAAAAATGAAGAATTTTATAGTCACATAATCAGTTTTATATATGAGGTAAATGAATTATCACAAAAGCAAGGATTAAGATGAGCTTAATCTAAACAGATGATTTGTCTGGGAAATTGATTAGCAAAATGAAATCCCAGTCCACTTCCCTTCTCTCAAATGAGAGTTTTATTTTCTAACCTGTCAGACTTTTCTATTACTAAACTACCATTTTCCATTCTGCATTACTGTTTAGTGTGAAGATTATAATAGTTGACCTTAGAATTTTAAAAACCTTTTATCTTATATCACTGGTTTGGAGAGCTTTTGTTCAAGCCTCATGGATTTGATTTGATTAGGATTTGATCCATGTCATTGGATGACTGTGATGGGGATTGTCAGATGACAGCTCAAGGTTAGCTGAACGCAACTTGGGGTTTGTTGAGATTTAAGACGTCCTCATCTTAGAGTGCAATATTTGTGGGTCCTGCCAGGTTCCTATGAGTTTGGAGTGAATTCAAAGAGAGACAGTACTCTAACTCTCCTATCGGGCACTAAGGAGGTTACAGTGTTTCAAATGACAAATGGCTCCAACAGGTTTGCAAGTTGCGGGAGCATGTCTTTAGGTCCTTGTTCCCTCCATGCTTTACAGAGTTTGTAGGAGTAAACTCAAGAAAATAATATGATAGGCAGTTCTGCACTGGGTGGGTTATAAAATAAACATTGAAAAAATAATTATGTAAGTCTAGTAATATAGCTGTCATACATCTGACAGTGCAGTCAAATAAGAATTTCTCTATCTTGACTGTACAACTTTCAAAAGCATGTTTTTAAAAAGCCCCTTATTTTAATAATATAATTATTCACATTATACCTTTTAGTTGCACATCGGACAGTCCTATTTTGTTAACAATATTGTTTCAAAATGATGTAAATCTGCAGCTATTTCTAAAGTGCACTCTGAAATCATATGTAATGTACAAATCTGACATTACATGGAATTCTTACTCATAACATTCGCGGAATGTAGCAGTACTGTACATGTGTGAGAACCCGCATTTTGAGGAACTTAGTGAGAAGGACAGTGCTTGTTCTCTGACTTCAAAGGCATGATGTCAGGTTGGGGCATTGACAGTTTTAGCCATAAATCTGATTCCATATCCAGCCTCTTCATCACTTTGATTGTAATGCTGCATGCATGGGAAATCCACTTTTACAAATAAATGCTGTGGCAAAAGCCTTTGGGTACTTCAAACCTTTATCAGACATTTCTGTTTACTCCAACCAGTGTGTATTTGCTTTTGTGTAAAGGCCAGCTTTATAGAGATAATGTCTTATTGTCACGTTTAACTTTGTCTGAAATCTGTATTTCCAATATGACCAAAAGTTCTGTAAGATTTAGTCCTGAATTGCAATTTATCAAGTTGATAGGACCACATATGTCATTTTTCGATCATAGCTGCTACTTTGTCTTGAACGTGGACAGATATAGAGGCCCATTAAGGAGAGCTGAAAACACATCTATTATAGCAATTTAGATAACTAAGGAAACTATTTTAAGCAATATGAAGATACATGGTGCCACAGCACTAATATGTAATGTCTCCACTGTTGGCCTGTCATTCCTAACCCTGATGCATTTTGACCAAACAGTTTCTTTCTTCTCAGCAGGATGTCCTCATTCACCTCTCCACTCATATTCACCAGATATAAAAAAAGCTTTGAAAGTTTTGCATTATCTGTGAATTTATAAACAGTATGTGGTGCAGCATAAAAGCAAATCTAGTCTATTCTTGCTATCAAATGTCTCTTATTTGACAGCAAGGCTATTTTCATTTGCTTGGCAAGCCTTCTCTCCTAGCCTGGCATTCAGGATTTTCTTTGCTGCTGGTAATAATAATTCTTCTCCTGTTGTGTGTGACATTCCTGTCCTTGAAAATCCTGCCTATAAGAATCTTCCATGGTCCATGCCTGTGGCTATACACTGCATTATTTCCTTGCTTTCCTTGAAAAGTTGTAAGAAAACCCAATGGTCTTACATATGTAGTGTGTTTTATTTCTCATTTCTGACAAAGGTCTTAGTTTTAAGAATTAATTTGATAGAACGTCAAACATAGAACGCACAGTGGTCACAGCTCCTGTTATACTGAAGTCCAGGTGAGTCCCAGTTCTCAGCACCAATTGCTATACACTTCTATTTACTTTGCTTGTGTTGTAAAGGTTCATTGTGCCACTGAGGATTTCCAGTTTTGTTCCTTTTTAGACTGCCTTTTTTAATCCTATTTCCGAATGGTACGTACAAACGGTTTATGACGTGTTCTTCAGTCTTAAAAATGAGATTTCAATCATACTGATTTCCAGTACAACTTGCTGTTCTGAAAATGTCCATTTAAGAGAAAGCCTGAACTTCGTATTATATTCTGAGTCTCAAAATATTGCTAAGCCCTTGTTGTGAAATGTTGTATTAGAGCAAGCAGAAGAGCAGAGTGACGAGGAAGAAGGCACTGACGATAGTGATGAAGACAGTACGGATGAGAGCAGCGATCTCAGTGAGAGCGAGGACCATTCCTCTGGAGAATCTGACAGCTCCTCTTCCTCAGAAGAAGATGAAGGATTCAACAAAGAAAGCTTATAAGCAAATTTGTTTTTACAGAAGGGTAGTAAAACACTTTTTGTTGGCTATCCAAAATGTGTATGCTATCATCTTGATTATGTGTATTCTTACAATACACACTAAAGCTGTTTAATTGTCTTTTTCCGAATACTTTGATTTCAATGGACTGTTGTTAAGTACATATGTAACTGAAACCATTTCTAATCATGTCATTACATATTTTTGAATATATGCATGATAGTTGTGAGCATGAGGAAATATTTTTTATTTTATAAGGAATGAGGTCTATGTAAAAAAGCTCTCTTATGTCTTAAATATAATTCAATATTTGTGCGGTGGCTCTGTGGCTAAGGATCTGTGCCTGTGGCTGGAAGGATGCTGGTTCGTATCCCGCGGCTGGCAGAGGAATCCTACTCCACTGGGCCCCTGAGCAAGGCCCTTAACCCCAACTGCTCCAGGGGTGCCGTATAAATGACTGACCCTGCTCTCTGACCCCAAGCTTCTCTCCTTGTCTGTGTGTCTCATGGAGAGCAAGTTGGGGTACGGAAAAAGACTAATTCCTAATACAAGAAATTGTATATGGCCAATAAAGTGATCTTTTCTTATCTGTTATCTTATAAAATAAAAACAGAAATCAACATTCAGTTGTAACTCATTAAATTTATTTAACGTGGACATACAGAAAACAAAATGAAGTCAGAAAACCCCAAGATAAGCCATGAAATGAAAGTGGCTGCAGCAGAACATCTCGCATAATTCTACAAAGGGTATGGCGAGTTCAGTGGGCTGCAGACTAGTTATTGCCTCAAAGCAATATGCAACCAAACTGACTTCACAACTTCACAGTTCTGATCTTATATTGAATGTTTCCAGTGCTTATTGTCACTTGGATAGTTGCGTTTTTGTTCAAACATGAAATGGAAAATAAAAAATAAAGTTTACATTGTGGTTATCATTCATATTAAGCATATGGTCACAAGTTAAAAGAAAACAAAAAGAACAGTTTTGACTTCGTTGTACCAATACTTTTGGAGGGCAGAGTAACAAGAACACATCACCAAAATCAGATTTGGGATTTTTTATTTTATTTTGCTGATTCCAAGGGTCTACTGAGTAGCTGCAACATTGATTCGTGCTTTAAATTTCAATATCATTCTGAATGCTAACTAATAGAAAATAAATATGGAATTAAACTGAAATTCACAAAGGAAAAGTAACACGATGAGGCTCATTACACCACCCCTTTGTCATACTGTTAGTTAAAATCACCTGGGACGGTAAATGAAATTCCAGGAAAACATATACACAAGGTACCTTTTCATCAGCACATTGCCTGGTTGATATTGTTTTTGTCCAACTAAAAGGTGAGAGTTAAAGGGTTGTAACCAAATATGGCAGCTTTGAAAAGTAATGTCTATTGATTCTTTGTCTGATGCTATACAAGTTTAGAATGCTTGTAGCACATTTGTTAACAGCAAAGAGAAAGTTGTGTTGAGCAATTACACATTTTAAATGTCATACCTGCCTTTTTGTTTAAGTTGCACATCACTTTCAATTGCAAATCTTGATATTTGTAGAGCAACTGTGCACCATGGGCTGTTGTTGCCACAGGCATTTTTCGCTTTGCGTATTATCCCCTATGCACCCTGTTTTTTCTTCTGCAATGACTGTTGTGTGATTTATGACGCATCTCTCTTCAGTATGTTTTTCCTGGTTGGGGTGAGATATATTTTTAAAAAAATGTATATGTATAATTTCCAATCGGGAAAAAAAACACCTTAAAATAATCTAATGAAAGAAGTAAATACAAACATTTTCTGCAGAGACATTTAATAAGGCTTCATGGAAAATACCTTCAACTGAATTTAATGAAATATTAACAACATCTGACAAGTTTTAGGATGCATTTTGCTTCATTAAAATTAATTATGCACTACTTACAATAAGCGATCTTCTGTGGAAAAGGATGCTATTGCATTCCATTTCAAATTGCTTTTGCATTCCTTATAAATATACCTCTGTTATTAAGGAATTCAATTAACTTAAGGGGAATATTCTAACATATTCCTTAGCCCATCTGCACAGGATTGAATTGAGGCCCACAGTTTATTTGTAGGCAGCAAGGTGGAATTTAGTTGGCACTGCTGCTTTACAGCTAAGACAAGCCAAGGTATTTTACTGGGGGTTCCAATTCCTTCCTTCACTCCAAAGACCTGCTGATTAGATTAATTTGTCCCTCAGAATTGTACCTCCTGTCCTGCAATGGACAATTGTCCCACCTTATGTCCTGTACCCCATATGTGGACTCCAAATTGCTGTGATAATTATGAGGCATAAGCAGCTCTCTGATAAAGAGGAATGTTTGCTTTGGCCCCTGTAAAATTATATCTCACTGAAGAAAGAGATTCAGGTTTGCGATGTGCGTGAACACCTGGATCATAACTGATGTACACTCAGCAGTTTTTTAAATGACTAAATTGAAATTCACAATAGCAATTTTTGTTATCTGTTCACACCTGGTTTCTAAAACAAACATATGACCATTAAACAACACCTACATGACCAGAAGAATAAATTAGCTGCAACATGACAAGATTGCCTCATCGCACAGTAAAATGCCATAGAAACTTCAGTTGCCCATGGAAAGTTCTTTAAAAATCAAATCGTTGACATAATTAGGAAATTGTTGTTGCACCTGTCTCTTCTAAATTATGTCAAGGCAAAACTTCACATTTGAATGGTAGAAAGGCCGGCTGCGCTATAAAACTGTTTTAAAAAAAAACCTGCTGAATCTCATAAGTAAGTAATGAAAGCACCATAGAGACTATAGCATGATACAAATAGAAGCAGCTGATAAAAGCACTTCTCTTGTATGTTATAACCCCTGCTGGAGTTGATAAGTTAAAATGTACTTACTATAATCCCTAGCCATTATAGATCCTCTGTTCGAAGAAATCCTTTCCAGCATCCTGTAATTTCTTTCAATTGGTCTTTGTCCTTTGCTTTGTGTTTCATTCACATTTGTTTATTTTTAATCTCAATTCCAGTATTTCTCCATCAGTCTAATTTGCTACTCTCTGATAAGGCTGGTCCAGCTATTGTTATGTGTGGCCCATTTCCATGGGCTGTAATGGCCATATTTTCACTTTATGTCTGTTTGGTTTTCCTTCTTATCTGTTCAACAGGTTGTCCATTCCTTCTGTGCTTTTCTCTCTCTTTGATGATATGTCCTGACGTTTCCTTTTGATTAGAGGCCAGGGGCTCATTTCGGAGGAGGCATTGTTTCAGAAAACTGTTGTTGTTGAGTCTAAATTTTAACCTAAGTGTCCACCTCCAAAAACGTTGTGTAATCCTTTTTTTTAAATCTGATTGCATATGTCATCACGTCTTTTATGAACAAAAGACTACCTCTACCCGCAAAGAATATTGTTAATTCAATATGGATTATGATGTCAATGTAGTTACTACAATAATCATATTATAGTAAAGTTATTAATACTGAATATTTCAAGAAACATGTCCTAGTATTAAATTAGTATCACTAATGGCACTGACACTAGTGGCACCAATATCATTGCCACTGTTACGCTTTATAATTAGTTCTAGGTTTGTAATTAAAGAGCTATTATTAAATATTTTTTTCTAAAACTATGCTTTACTCATGAAACTATTTTTTATCATATTTTTCCATTATGAGAAAGTTGTGGGCCAGCTGCCCATTCAATTAATTTATGTGTGATGGGCAAATTGCCCATGGGTTTCCCACAGTAAACAATAATGACCATTTGCATGCCAAGATTATCTATATTGTTCAATTTAAACTAGATTGGAAGGGGAAAGACACCAAAGATAACCAAAAAGGAAGTTACAGTACATGCGGAACAAAGACAAAGGGAGAAACAAGACAAATGATGAGGTAATTATGTGCTGGTACCTAAATGTGAGGAGTATCTGAAACAAATGAGATGAGATAGAAGCTAGCACATTAGCAGGCAATTATGATGTTATTGAAATCACAGAAACCTGGCTAACTGAAAATGATGGAGAGGAATGTAACATTAGCAGATACACCCTGTTCCGGAGAGACAGGAAAGATAGAAGAGGAGGAGGTGAAGAGCTGTATATCAAAAAGAGTGTTCAGGCTCAGGAACTTAAATGACAAGAATCTCTAAACCTATGTGGGTTAGACTAATTAAAAAATACATTCCAGATGTATAGTGTTAAGAGTATACTGCTGACCACCAAATGCAGAAGATGATTATAACAACACTATATAATGAAATTAATTTTTATGTGCAAGAGAAATGCAGTTGGGACAAAAGGTGGGGCAGGGAGTGTACTTTGGAGCTAGAGTTTCGAGAAGCCTCTACCCTTTACTACCCTGTCTTTTAAAAAAAAAATAGTTCCTTACGTGTAGGAGAGGTGGAGAACTACATGTCCCAAGATGCCTTGGGGGGAATGGCTTGTTCATTTCCTGTCAAAAGAGTCTCAGCTGTGAGGGATTAGCTACTTTCTTGCTGGCTTCAAAAGCATGTGGCAAACACAAGTTAGAGTCTTTTTTTTAACAGGGACCTGAGAGATAGTTTGGCTCTTGGTGTTGGTTTATTTTGAACTCTTGAGAAGAAAAAGTGAGTAACACTGAAGTGTAGTAGTTATCTTAGATTCTATTTGCTTATATTATTTCTCCCTAAAAAGAGGGAACTTGGTTGTATTTTTGGATACTGTTTTTGTAAAAGAGTTGGGGATGAAGTACTTTGCTGGCTTTTCAATGGTAGTAAAATGTTGACATCCTGGTAGGTTGTGTACCAGGAAATCCTGGAAACATTGCATTTTTTTGCAGGTTGTGGGCAATTTTGTTAAAAGTCTGGATGTAAAACAAAAAAGATGGAAGATTACATTAAGACCATGATACAGGCCATGACAACACTCCAGCAGGTTGCTACAGTACAAAATGAATAGAATCAGCTACTTAGAGAAGACCTAATGCACACCAGCCATTGTTAACAATGGGAGATGCAGAGTATTGCTGACAAAAATAGTGATCTAGCTGCAAGGACAAAGGAGGAGCCCTGTCGCATCTGCGCTAGCCTCTTACAGACAATGAGTGCTACAGAGGATGTAGAGGCATATTTACTATCTTTTGAATGAACTGCAGAAAGAGAACAATGACCTCTGGCCCAGTGGGCAGGGCTATTAGCCCCATTTTTAAGAGGTGAGGTACAGAAAGCCTACCATGACCTCAAGGCCCTGATGCCTGTGATTACCAGAAATAAAAGGCCAAAACTGTGGACCATTTGGGGGTTACATCCACACAGGACCAAAGATTACATGCTTGGACCTTCTAACCTGGGCTGGCATCCAGATCTCAAACGTTTGACCTCATTCAT